ACTTTAGCCTTCCTCAGGCAACAAAAAAAGTCAGTTAATTAAAATGTATCCACAAGTTAGGCCCCAGGAGAAGCAGCCATTTTGTAACATTAACTTTAAATGCACCATGAGATTTTTTTTCAAAGAGCTGCACCATGAGATTTTTTTTCATAGAGCTGCACCTACAGTTTTTATATTAGTCTAATCACATCTACAGTTTTTATATTAGTCTAATTGTACATACAGTTTTTTTAATTAGTATAATTGTATATACAGTTTTTAAATTAGTCTAATTGAAATTGTACATACAGTTTTTACATTAGTCTAATTGTACATACAGTTTTTACATTAGTCTAATTGTACATACAGTTTTTACATTAGTCTAATTGTACATACAGTTTTTATATTAGTCTAATTGTACATACAGTTTTTATATTAGTCTAATTGTACATACAGTTTTTAAATCAGTCTAATAGAACATACATTTTTTGTAGTAGTCTAAGTACAATAAATTAATAAATAATAAATGTGATGCTACCCCCTTTTTTAAAACTAGTAAAAATAGAAAGCATGAGCCTTCATGAATTTTTTGTGTGGATTATTCATTAAATAATTTGAAATAAATTAATGAGTTGTTTGTGATTACTTGCTGTCATCTGGATGTTTTAAGTGTTAAAAAAAAGAGAAACACCTCAGCCACCAGTTCCTAAAATGAAGGAATGGCTCAATGGATTACTATTTTTATTTAACCACCAATGTGGGCATAAATACAAAAGGTCTGGAAGTTAATTTTTTTAGTTCTAGTACAATTTGTTAAATGTGTCTGTTTGTTATTTGATATAGAGGATAGTATTTGAATGATAAAAGCCCTAAAAATAATGGGTAAACTATAGAAATCAGTTTGATCTATATCGAACAGGTTGGTGTTCTGGGACCTCTTCTGTGTTTTTGTAAACCAAAGGAGGGGAGATGTTTTAGCTATTACTACACCGAAATATGTTTCTCATCGGCAAAATAACCATGTTTTCAATGGGAGAAAATCATATACTATTAAAATTCAAAAGGTTAGGCCTAATACTATATATATAGGACTAAGCCAAATTATAAAAAATTAAATATGTTAAATTAAAAAATAAAAGCAATAAAATAAACGAATAAAAATCCTAATTATGGAGCAAAAAGATTTCTTTGAAGACATAATCACTTCAGGTTTGTGAGAAATGATGTTTCATTTTGGAAACTATATCAATATCCCTATACAAGTACAAGTGTAACTTAAAAATTTGTACTTTTTTTTTTATGTTAGAGCAATTTAGATCCTCAAAAATGATACTCATACTGTCTTTTGGGTTATGCTACTCATACTGTCTTTTGGGTTATGATACTCATACTGTCTTTTGGGTTATGCTACTCATACCGTCTTTTGGATTATGCTACTCATACTGTCTTTTGGGTTATGCTACTCATACTGTCTTTTGGGTTATTATACTCATACTGTCTTTTGGGTTATGATACTCATACTGTCTTTTGGGTTCATTTGATTTCTTTTAGGTGTTTTTTATGTTAATTTAATTGTACAATTCTTGTTCACAAAGCTTTTTTTTTTCTGCCTTCTTAAGTGAAATGTTGAAAACCCTAGGTGGGCAACCCTATTGACTATTGCCAACTGACACATGTAGCGAATGGACCTTTTTAGTGTGGTGAATTTGGTTTGGACCAATATAATTTTGTTTAAGGTAAAATTGGAATAGGATGTATCGGTACCATTAAAAATTATTCTTTATCAAAATTTCATTGTATTTAATAATATAATAAGCATCTAGTCTGACAAATGATATGTGCATATTTATAAAATTATCACGTTGATTAAAGACTTGTATATTAACTGCTTCTTTTTAATGAAATTTCATCCCTACATTTCTGTTGAAAAAAAAAAAATTGTTGAAGAATCAGCCTACACTAGTCTTCAGCTACTTGACCAGCTTACGGATGTTAAAGCAGATGGAATTAGAAAATGTGAAAACCATTCTGAATGACAGGTATTCTGAGGTATCTTGAAACCATGTAACTGGGAATTTCAGAATTATTTTC